CATTAGAGTTGAACATATCAACAAACATCAAAAGAACTCCTTGCCAGAATCAGAGGGTGATCACCCCTTGCCAGGATCAGCATGTTGGTACTCTCTCTTGAGATAGTCACCTGGGTCACCTCAAATGAAAGAACATGGAGGTGCAGCAGAAATGCAGAGATGGGCTGAAACAAGACACACTTCTCTTTCTCCTTCTGAGACATAAAATATCAGTAAAGATTGTCCTGCCTGCTAACAAGAGAGAAAGAGATTGAAGATGGCTATGGGACAGATTCTCAGGGTGGAAGGCCCTGCACATGGCTGGCAAGTCAATTATATTAGACCAATGACACTAGTAGCACCAGGTGGCTTCAAATAGGTCCTCACAGGAATTGATACTTACTCCAGACTGGGCTTTGCTTGCCCTGTAACTGTTGCTAATGCCAAAAATATCATTAAAGGACTGGAACAAAAGATAACATACTAGTTTAGGACACCAAATGATATTTCATCAGACTAAGGAACATGCTTTATAGCTTACAGAGTACAGCAATATCATATTAAATGAACATACCATGTTGCCTACCATAGTTAGAGAATTGCCTACCATCTGATAGAGAATTAGAATGAACAATTGTAACATTTTCTATCTAAAATGTGGGCTGGGGGATAAAAGTATGAGGGTCTGGCTCACACGTCTTCAAGAATGTGTGCTCACACTCAGTATAAGAGGAACTAGAGGGGGTTCACTACTGGACAAATGCCTACATTTCTCAGGAATATCTTGAGAAGAAGGAGTAGGAGAAGATGCTAGCGTACTATACAGTTCTTCCCCACATCACCTGAAATTGTTTTCTTCTTACCAGATATTGCATTCCCAGGTCCATGGATGCAGCTATAGGTATCAGAAGTAGGAGTGATTTCTGAGCAAACAACTGTAACTATGCCCTTAAACTTGTATGCAAGAATTTCCAAGCGTCTGATGGGGTGGATTGTACCTTCGCCCCATCTTGCAAAAGTACAGTTAACAGTGACGACTACTGTTCTGCCTAGTGGCCAAAACAGTCCATTGCCGGCGTATCTATGTAAACCTACTCAGCATGAATAGAAATGGACTAAGATGAAACCCTTGCCAGACTGGTCTTGTTACCTGTGATTTGGACTAGCAAAATTTCTGACTCTGATGTCACTTCCCAAGTGGGGAAAGTTTGGATAAAAATAAATGACAAATGAGAGGAAGGAAAAAATATGTCGAAGAGCAAAGGAATGAATAAATGGGTCACGCAGCGACAGAAATCTAACATTACATTAATACATTGGGAAAGACTCAGAGCAAGGGGGTAGCTTTCTCCAGCTAAACTTCAGGGACTACAAAAGCAAAGCAAAGATACACTCAATGGTTTACTTTATAAAAAATGGAAAATTTTTAATTTAATGTTTTTTAATTTTTAAATTGGAAACAGGAGTGGCATTCATTTCCTAAACAACATGCCTTTGGAGACCCTATGAATTTAGAAAAATGACAATAGTTTCAGAACAGGGATCAGGTCTTTTGTTTATAAAGTCATTATGAGTTGTGCTCAACTTGAGGGCAATCAACAAGAACAATGTTCATAAGCAAAGTACAGACAAGAACATATCATCAAGTTGCAGCAATGATGTTCTTCAGCATTTGTTAGTAAGGGGCAAATCAGAAATTGGCTATCTAAAATGGGGGAGATTAAGGCAGGGGGCATGAAGTTGCTGGCTTGCATGCTTTAATGAATACAATTCTTATTATACAATTCTTATTAAGGGGAAATCCGATTTCTCAAGTGTGAAGGTGATGGCTAGAGAAGCCAGGGAGTCTGGTACACTCAAGCCCGTTGTTACAGTAACTGTGTCAACACATCTCATTGAGGGTCTTCCTCTCTTTCACTGGCTCTCTACTTTTCTAAGCATGATGTCCTTTTCCAAGGACTAACTCTTTCTAATAACATGGATAAAGTGTGAGACAAAAATTTTTTCATCCTTACTTCTAAGGAGCACCCTGGCATAAACATATATTTTTAATAAGGAATGAGTTGATCTTATAACCATAATTCTTTGTCTTTCACTTTATTGATTCTGTCACTTTCCCTTCCTTCAGTTGTTAAGCAATTTCATTAGCTCATATTGGTGTTCCCTAGAAAATATGTGTGAGAATTTTTATTCACCTCATGACTGACAGCAGTCATATCACCTTGCACACTTGATGGCTTTGCAAATCATTGACTATGCATAGGCATTTGACTGTGTGGATCACAACAATCTGTGGCTAACTTTGAGGAGAATGCGAATCCCAGAACACTTGATTGTGCTTATGCGAAACCTATACTTGGACCAGAAAGCAGACGTCAGCACAGAGCAAGGAAATACTGCATGGTTCAAAATCAGGAAATGAGTGCATCAGGGATATATCCTGTTTCCATACCTTTTCAATCTATATGCAGAACAGATCACTAGGGAGGCTGAACTTTATGAGGAGAAATGTGGCATTAGGAATGGAGGAAGATTCATCAGCAATCTACATTATGCAGATGACACAACACTGCTTGCTGAAACAGAGGAGGACCTGAAATGCTTGCTGCAGAAGTTCAATATGAATTGAAGCTCAGCATCAAGAAGACAAAGATTCTCACCATTAGGTCAATTGACAGCACCATGAGAGATGGAGAAGAGGTTGAGGTCATTAACAATTACAGCTTACTCAGCTTCACAATCAGTAATCTTGTTCCAGCAGTCCCCAAATCAAAAGATGAATTCCACAGGGAAAATTGAAGCAACAACGTCAGTCTAGAGACTAAGGTGCACCTGATCCAGGCCATGGTCTTCACAGTTACCTGCTATGTATCAGAGAGCTGGACAATGGCCAAAGATGACAGAAGAATTAATGCTTTTGAGTTGTGGTGCTGGAGAAGAGTCTTGAACATATAATGGACCACCAAAAAAACCAAATAGGTCTGTCTTGGAGAGGGAGAAAACATGTTTCTCCTTAAAGGCTAGGATTTTGAAGCTCTGTCTCCCATACTTTGGACACATGGCCAGGAGGGACAGATCCTTGGAGAAGGGTGGAGGGACAGCACAGGAGAGGAAGACCCCAGATGAGATGGATTGATACTGTAACTGCAGCAATGGAGGTAGTAACTAGGGCAATGGGGGTGGGTGTGTCAGAGACAGTGAGACTGTCTCAGGACAGGACATATTTTAAAGATATTGTACATATAAGGTGGCTATGAGTCACAGGCAACTCGACAGCACATAACCACAACAGTAACACTTGATGGCATCCTCTCTTTAAGAAGTCTCTGGAGGATTCATGTGGGAGCTTTGGTGGTTTAATGGGAAATGAGTGCCACCACCCAAAAGCAGGTGGGTAGAATCCATCAGCGGTTCTTAGGGAGAAAGACTGGCAGGTTTTTTTCCTGTGCAATTTACAGTGTCTGAAAACTTGCTGGAGGGACAGCTCTGAGTCAGTTTCAACTCCGTGGCACACAGAAACCATGGGAGTGTCCGCAGGTGTTTGTTGACTGCATTTCTCAACACTTTTCAGAGTCTTTGAAAGTTGTATGCACAATAGTTTGAGAAATAAGTCTGTGGAAAGTCAAGGAAGTCAATCTATAGTTGTTAAAATTCTAGTCGCCTTTAGAGTGTATATTTGCATTAAGGTATTCTGGAACCAAAATACCATCATTTTCACATCATTATGTCTTGAAGGGTTAAGGGTGGGTGGTATTTTGTAACACCATCTTAAACAATGGAACTGTAGACAGTGCAAATGTAAAATGTTACTTTGAATGCCCTTCCCAGACACAAATTTCTTTTCATTTTAAAATATATTTTTAATGTTCCTTTCTTTCTGTTGGGAGAACAGCTGACAAGTCTGTTTCAGCTATGCCTGTAGCGACCAGGGATTGTTTGAACAGATAATTTCTTCTGAAAAGGACAGATTACCTCCAATTAGTTTAATGTATATTTTGTCGTACATTATGTTGGGCAGAACTGAATTGTTTTTTTAAAGTACTGAGATTCATCTTTATATGAACCAATTTTATTTCCTTCTATAACGTCCTTTTACTATTGTGAAAGTATGTCTACCAGTCCATGGTGAGGGATGTCATGCTTGGGAGGGTGGAGGGACAGCACAAGAGAGAAAGACCTTTGATGAGATGGTTTGATTCAGTGACTGGGGCAGTGACCAATCAGGGTAGGTATGTCAGAGACAATAATATTGGAACAGGATAGAGCAGGGTTTAGGGCTGCTGTACATAGGGTCACTATGAGTCACAGGTGACTCAATGACACATAACAACAGCAAGAAGTTCTATTAATATGTTGTTGTTGATTGTCTTCGAGTTGAGCACGCCTCATAGTGACCCTATGAACAAAAGGTTTGAAGCCCCCGGAGGTATGTTATTTGGGAAGTGGATGCCACTTCTGCTTCAAATCAATTAATATATATTGAGGTACATATATTGACAGATGACATTTACTAAATGGAAGATCACCTTATTTATAGACTAAATAAAAAACAGTAAATGTTTGCTTATTAATGCTAATAGAGAAATGCAGAGAATATAATTGACCCCAAACAGAAGCTACATTCTTAAAATTTTGAAATGCATTCTATTTTTATTATATTAGCAAACAAAATGATGAAGCCATGTATTCAAGATAGGATTCTGGGTAAAATGAAAGTTCTAATTTCTTTCACGTTTCCCACTGTGTCTCATCTTTCAAAAGAACTCAAAACTTACTCTATGTTAGGTTCAAACTCTATTCAGAGCAAAGAAAGGCGATCCAAAGCTTTTAGTTAAAGCTCCTTTGCAAGGTACTAATATAGGCAATTAAAACCCAGCAGAAATAACAGCAGTTAGGATGAGAAAGAAAAGGACCTATGCAGAGCAAGTGGAGGCCGCCTGCGGGAAGTGTCGATGACGGACTGTCCTAGGAAAGGCACAGAAGTGGAGTCAGTGATTTATGCCAAAAAAATGAATAATTTTTTAGGAAACATGCTTGAGGATATACTTGGCAATAAATTTGACAGCTAGCATCGTTTCTTTGCAGGTTGACTTTATCCGAGATTCTGGAAGGAGAAAACCAAATTTGCCTCTGTCTCGGAGCTCAAAGGCAAACGTGTGTTTGATGCCCAGGTCATAAGCCCAGTCTAAAGAAGAGCCTGAAGTTGGGTCTGCAAAACATAAACCAAGAGTATTTAATTAGAGATAAATGCTAATATTACTTCAAAAAGAGAAATTGAAAATTAGCAATAAAGAGCAATGCCAGGTACAGTCAATTGCTGTAATAAATGAGAATAAAGGTCTGAAGAACATTGAACATCAAGTGCAAAATAACCCTGCCTTTGGAGTTCAGTTGTGGTTTCTAGGGAGAAAGATGGGCAGTGTCTTACCTTGTGATGTGTCACCTCCAAAACCAAGGACGTGTCAGCTGTGAGTTAGAGTTTTGAGTCTAGAACCCACCATCCATTCAAAATAAGTGCTGTCTCCTTTAGAATACACTGATGTTGAGTTGGTACAATATTGAGTTTATGCTTTCTGGGTATACATTGCTGCAGGTGGACCAGGGGCTCTGAGCAAGTTCTAACAGCAAAGCATACCGCATGTGGAGCTCCTGATCCCTGAGAAGCCATCACAGAAAGTTTTATCTGGAAGGCATACAAAAGCTGCCTTCTTTCTGAGGTTCAGCTTTCTTGCTCACTGTGTTTTTAGGATAAACTGTTTTATAGTCATGCAATATTATTCAAAATGGGTCACTCTGGAGGACATTATGCTGAGTGCAGTATCTCAGTTACAAAAGGACAAATACTGCATGGTGTCACTGTTGTAAAACAGGACTAACATGGGTGGGGGGAAACTGAGAAAGATGGGTTCATTAAGGTATACTGCATTGAAATTGATGAGGAGAAAACTGTTTAAAAGGGATATGTGATCAGGTATCTTTGTCATGACAGGAGTCCAGAATGAAGGCTGCATAGTGGAGTGGACCTGGGGGGATTGTAAAACAATGAAAGAATTTTTCTTTTACTTTTCCAAGAGGGGAGTATACTGGGAGGGGTGGGTGGCAAGAAAAGTGCAACAGTGAAAGAATAGAAATCCAAAGTCTCTGTAAATTTTCGTTGAAATTAATAATAAAAAAAAGTAAAAAAAAAGTTTAAAACAGTTCTTTTGAGGAAACATCTAATCCCCTACTTCAACATTTTTAGATAGATTTTAATGACACTTTATTTGTTATTAGGTTAAAAATATTGAAAACATAAATACACATACAGAGATTATGTACATTATATATAATTTATACATGAACATATGTTTGTTGTTGTTTACATTGAGTCACCCAAGACTCATAGACAAGTACATATAGATATTATAAAACTCATTTGTGTATTTTTTGTTGAATGTAAGGTTGTTGCCAGGTGCCATCAAGTAGATTATGACCTATAATGACCCTGTGAACAACAGATTGGAAACTTTCTCTCTTCTGTGCCCTCACCACAATCTCCACCATGCTAAGCCCCTTTGTTACAGACACTGTGTCAGTTCATCTTGTTGGAGTTCTTTCTATCATTCACTGACCCTGTACCTTTCCTGGCATGATGTAGTTTTTCAAGTGTTGGCCCTTTCTGATAATAATAAGATGTAGCAGAAAATTTGGGGGAAAAGACATTTGGGTCCTAGGAAAGTTTAACTGATAATAATAGTTTTAGTTGTAAGATAAGAATTTAAAGCTATGGTGAAGAGAAAAAAAGCAATATTTTTGTGGAAAGAGATAGAACTAGCTTTCAAATTATTAAATGAATGATGTTAAATCTAAATAACATACCTCTGGAAACTCTATGAACTTCGATAAAGTTGATAGTTGTAGAGGAGATTCAGGTCTTTTGTTCATAGGGTCGCTATGAGTCGTGCTCAACTTGAAGGCAATCAGCAACAACAACATATATGTATATTATAATATACGTAAGTTGGCACTTCAGAGGTTTGTTGTTAGATGTTGTTAAGTACAACCTTATGAACAACAGATCTGAATTTTGTGCTACCCTGTGCCATCCTCATCATCTCTGACACGCTTGAGCCCATTTCACATTCACTGTGTCAATCCATCTCATTGACAATCTTCCTTTCTTTTGTTGAATCTTCACCTTTCCAAACATGATATTCTGTTCCAAGGAATAGCCTCTCCTAGCAATAAGCTGAAAGTATATGAGCTGTGCTTCGTTCTAAGGACTCTGGTTGCACTTTGTCCAAGCCATATCCATTTGTTCTCTTGGCAGTCCATTGGATATTCAGCACTCTTCTCCAACACCACAACTCAAAGGCATCGATTCTTCTTTTGTCAACCTTATTCATTATCCAGCTCTTAGATGCATAGTGATCAGAAAGACCAGGGTTTGAGTAGGCACTTTTTAGTGTACAAGCTGACACTACTGCTCCTCAATAATTTGGAGAGGTCCCTGACAACAGACTTTCTCAATGTAATATACATCCTAATCTCCTGACTGCAGATACCAAGTGTGTTGATTTTGGATCCAAGTAAGATGAAACTGTTGACAGTTTCAGTATGGGAGTTCTGGTGTGTTAGTAGTAAAGAGTTGTGCTACCAACCCAAAGGCACATGGTTCAAATTCACCAACTGCTTAATGAGAGAAAGATGGACAGTCTCCTCTCATACAATTTACTGTCTGAGAACTCACTGAAGGGTCTATTACGGGTCAATTGAGAGAATGCATGGTACAAATATGAAAAAGATGATATTTTTGTTCTTGGTAATTTACAATTCAAGGGGGGAAAGTTTAAAAAATGCACATCAATAGAGACAAGGCAGACTCTTAAGTGTAGCACACTGTATTATGGGGATTTAAAGGAAAAAGTGTTTCCTAGGTTGGAGGGCACTATTTGATTCTCAATATTGGCTTAAATACCACTTTTATGATGGAAGAAAAGCAGGATTTATTTCCAGAAAGAGACTAAAGTATGAGATTCCAAGATGAGAAAACATGGAGGAAGTGGTGAAAAGGTTGAAGGTTCTTTTTCTCATAGTGACCCTGCATTGGGATTCTGAGACCATAAATGCACAGGACGTGATTATCCTCTCAATATTTCTTTTTACATTTATTTTTCATTTTCTTGGTTTAGTTACAATGTATATCGATTTCTTTAGGGTTATCCAGTGTGGAGTTCACTTAGCTTCATGAATCTCTTAGCTTGTCCTTGGCCAAATTTGAGAAATTTGTTCTGTGAATATTTTCAACCTCCTTGTCTTTCTTCTCTCCCTCTGGCGACTGATGCCATGACTGTTACATTTTTCTGTTACTGTGCACAGGGCCTTGAGGATTTGCTTATTTTTTTCCTGTATGTTTTCTCTCTTCAAGTTCAGTGAATTCTGTTGTCCTCTTACCAAAGTCACTGATTTTTCTTTCTCTTTTATCATTCAGCTATTGAACCCCTCCAGTGACTTTTTTTGGGCAAATTATTGTATTTTTCAGTTCTGGGATTTCCATTTGGTTCCTTTTGTAGATTTCTTTGGTGAGATTTTTTTCATTCTTAGTTTGCTTCAGGGCTCTCTTTATTTACTTGTTGAAGCATTTTTATGATGGGTTAGTGTCTGATGATTTCAACATCTCAACACGCTATTGTTGGCATCTCTCAATTGTTTCTTCTCATTTAAATTATCACAATTATTTTGGGTACAAGAGATTTTTAATAATAAAAACAGACATCTGGACATCTTAAATTTTTCATTATTTCAAGCAGTCACTCCGTTTATGTTTAACATGCAGGTTCTGGTCTACTTTTGTGGGCTGTAGTTCTGATAACAATGTAAAATTCAGAGTTCTAGTATTGCTGTTTGGTCATTCAGTTGGTTTGCCTAGTGCTGCTGGGCTGTCGTTTGTCCCTTATTGGCATCTTCTAGAAGGAAAAGTGTTCCCCCAGGATGGGCACCTGGTTGGCCTTGGCAAATAGAAGGCTTCAGCCCCTGGGGGAAGAGACTCTCTCTGGTGGGAAAAAGTAGAAGAAAGAGAATAAGCCCAATGAGAGAGTCTTGGAAAATAACTCTATATTATACCTTATTTCTGAGAAATGTCTATGTTTGGAAGCAGTCAATAAAGAAAGTATGGAAAAGGAAAAAGAACCCAAGGAGTTTCGAGTCAAGGAAATCAGGGGAATAAATGTTCAGAATTAGAGGTGTCACCAGTGTCAGAGTGCAGGGAGTTTGTGGCACATACGATCTGGCTTTGGTGATCAAAGTCTGCCATTTTAACCTAGAGTGAGTTTAAGTTTCCATAGTCATAAAGCACACAATGTTAAGAGATAGAAAAGGAAGTAGGGTAAATAAAATGGTGTGATTTAGAGATTGCTAGGCTAGCCTAGTGGCAAGAAGCTGTCCTGCAATTCCACAGGCATGCGGTTCGAGGCCACCAACTGCTCTTTGGGAGAAGGATGGGTGATCTTCTCCCATGAGATTTCCAACCTCTGAAAACATACCAGAGGGACAGCTATGGGTTAGTTTCAACTTGATGATACAAAACAACAACAAAGATATCGGAAGAATTTCAGGAAGTACTATATGAAAAAGAGCCAATGGTAACAGTGGAAGAAGTTCAAGCTGCATTAAAGACACTGCAAAAAAAAAGGCTCCAGAAATAGATGGTGTACAGATTGACATGTCTCAACTAACAGTTGCAACTCTGGATGTGCTCACCAATCTATGCCAGGAAATTTGGAGGACAGCTGTTTGGTCAACTAACTAGAAGAGATCTATATTTGTTCCTATTCCCAAGAAAGATGATCCAATAGAATGTGGAAATTATTGAATAATATTGTTAATATCACATGCAAGCAGAATATTGCTGAAGATCATCTCAAAATGTCTGGAACAGTACACTGACAGGGAATTACCAGAATTTCAAGCTAGGTTTAGGAGATTGTGGTACCAGTGATAGACTTTCTGATGTAAATACTGGATACTGGATGAAAGCAAAGAATGTCAGAAGAGTGTCTATCTGTGTTTTATTAACTATCCAAAGGCATTTGACTGTATGGATCACAACAAACTATGACTAACATTGAGAAGAATAGGGATCCCAGAATACTTATTTGTGCTCATATGACATCTCTTTCTAGACCAAGAAGCTGTTGTTTGAACAAGGAAACACTGTATGGTTTGCAATCA